AATGCAGGTTTCCGGGAGCCGCGACACCACGTCATCAGAGGCGATCAGGGGCGAGACCATCTCATCCAGAGCCAGGAGGCACTCCTGGTAGGCATCCTCATTCAGGGGCCCAGGGGTCTTCGGCTGGTACCCCCTCTGCTTAAACCTCTCAGGGATGTTGTCTGGGCCCAGCCACTTCTGATACTTTGCCCACACCGCAGGGGGCAAGTGCGCATTTTGCAGGATGATGCTCTTCCAGGCAGGGTTGATGCTCAGGTTGTTGCTCCAACAGAAGAAACCAAAGTCCAGGCTGAGCAATGGGACATTCCTGTTCTGCTGATACGAGGGGCACTGGAAATCAATACCTTGGAGGCCAGGGTAGATGAGCACCTGGGCGCGGATCTTGGGGAGATCTGGATAGTCCAAGAGGTTTTGACAGACTACGGCTGCCAGTCCACCTCCAACGCTGTCACCATACAAGACCACACGGGCCGGATCCACCCCGTACAGCTTCAGGGACCTCAGGAAGTGGATAGTGGCGCAGATGGAATCTCTCACCAGCACCGGAAACCTACCTTGGGGTACCAGGCGGTACCTAAAGAGCATCAAGGACGACAGTTTACATGCTGCGCAGCAGAGCCCAACACCCGTGTCTGCCACCTTCACCCCGGTGCCCTCCCATGGCCCTGCTAGCCCTGTGGAGCCTGACCCTGCGGGCGAGGGAGAGGCTGGATGAGGCTGCAGGCACACCCAGCTCAGGGGTGCCGGCGCCACAGCTGGAAGCTGCTGCCCCCACTACCCCATTTCCGGGTCTCAGGAGTCCTAGCGGTCACCCTGGGCCGAACCCTCACCATCACCAGCATGGCCTCTCTGCCCAGCTCCCAGACCTGGACTCCTGCTCACATGTCTCATTTTCCCGATACTTCCCTGGCGTCCGCCAGCTCCGCCAGGGCGATTCTGACCATCCTGCAACACTCTGCCTCTAAGAGGACCCTGAAGTCACCAGACCACAGTGGCCCGCAGATGACGCACCAGCCTGCTCCGACAGGCCACGGTTACCGGCCACCGGCCACCACGCACTATACCACGGACCTGAGAGCCGCTCGTTGCCAGCAGACACACCAGCCTGGCACGGCCAGAACTTACCTAATCCAGGAGACCCAGAAATACAGGTTTGGGGAGAAATCTCCCTCCTTGAAGCTCTGGGACAAGGAAATTCTCAAGGGGACCCACAGGCTTTCAGCCACGGCAGACTGTCACCCATCCCGATGGGCCCGATTCTGGGATCCCCGAACACATGCTCGGTCACCAGTGTTCTTCCCCAAACCCCGTCTACAGTGGATATAAACAATAACGGGGTGTCAGTGGGCCCGGGTGTGCAGGGCCACCGTGGGTAGGCCAGTTCCCATGCAGAAGTGGTTTTGGAGCCACAGGCTACACAGCGAGTCTCTCTCCAGGGCTTTCTCCTCACCACACATCTGTGTCCCTCCTCTGCAGCCAGCTGAGCCCCAGGAAAGCTGGCCCGGGGCGCCCCCACCACACTGGGGACAATCCACGCAGCTGGTGCATTTACGCCCAACTGCAGGCAAAGCCAGTGGGCCTCCTTGTGATGATGGGGCCATGCGGTCCCCCACCACCACCCACCACATCAAGAGGCTGCAGTTGCTGGGGGACTCCCCCAGGTCAGAGAGGAGAGAGAACAGCTATTGATTTTCCTGGCTTCCTACAGCAGGGGGAGCCCCGGCTGGGGAGCACTTGGGAGCACAGGACGGGCCTCGCCTGCCCTGAGCTTGGCACAGACAGCAGCATCCTGTGGAGGGAGGTGCAGCGAGCCCCCAGTGTGCAGAGCCTGCCCCAGAGGGCTCCGGTGTGAACGCTGCACCCGCTCGGCTTCCCAAGCGCACAGGGCGTGGACCCCGGGGTGCACAGACCTTTGCTCACACACGCCAGCAGGAGGCGCTCCCGGACGCCCGTCTCTGGCCCCGGCCTCCCTCCTGTCTGAGCACTGGCTCCTCTCAGGCCCCACCGCCCTCCAGGTGAGCAGCACCCCGCCTGCACCCACTCCTGTGCCCACCCACATCCGGTCTGGACCTGGCCCCGCTCACCCGACCGACAGGACCACGGAGTTGCTGTCCTTGCACAGCTGGCGGCAGATGCTGTGGTGGGTTCCTAGAGGGGCGAGATGTGGCATTCACTGGGCGCCCGCTCGGGGCAGCAGCGCCCCTGGAGCCCTGGACCTAACGGGTTTTGGAGAGGGCCCCTCGCTGTGCCCTGCCCCCCTCCAGCCCCCTGCTTTCATCTGGGCCCTGTCCACTTTGTGGACACACCGTGCCCAGCACTCGAGCAGAGTTGAGGATGCTGGGCCCTGGGCGCGGCGGTCCGGGGCTGCGGCTCCGAGTCCGGGTCCGGCCACTCTGCGTCTCCGCGGGCAGCGCCTCATCTGCCGAGTGGGGACGGGAGTGACGGCCTGGTGTTGGCAGTGACACAGGCTCCGACGGGCCCGGCCACCTGCCCACGGCAACAAGCCGACAGCAGCGTGGCCGTGGCCGCGCCCCTCGCGCCACCGGCCCAGCACTGAGCGCCAGCCCCGCCCGGCTCGGAGGCCGCCCCGTGGGGCCTGGCAGGCCGGAGCAGCTCTGGCCCCTGGAGGGGTTTCCTCCCCACTCGGGGAGAACAGGACAGCCACGCCCCACTTTCAGCTTGCTGCTTGTCCTCGAAATGCTGGCTCCGGGGATTCTGTGGCAGAATTTTGCGGCCATTCATATGATCTCACTAGAGAGGTTCCTTCCTGCTACGTGGAGAGGCTCACGCAGCCGGGAGAGGGTGACCCACAGTGACACGCCTCAACGGAGCTTTTCTGCGTGTGAACTTGGCAAACCCGGACAGGCGCACAGATAGGTGCATGGGTGATCGTGTCCACGTCGTGTGCCGTCGCTCAGCGTGTCTGGGGGCTTCCAGAAAGAGCTCATGTGCCTACGGCTGACGTCTGCTCCTTGGACGGGACCTGCTCTATGTCCCAGGTCCTGACAGACGGAGCCGGGAGAAGGGGCACCCCGGCTGAGGACCCCCAGAGCTGACGCTGGCGCCCGGGGCAGGCTGGGCAGGGTCTTACTCAGGCTCCCCATGATGCCCCCGCCTCCGTGGTAGAACACGATGCCTGGCCTGCTGGAGCAGGAGGCCGCCTTGGGCTGGTACAGCCACACCGGGATGGTCCCGAAGCGGAGGTCCGTGACCACCACGTCAGGGTCGTTCTTGATCGGAAGCAGGTCATGGGTGAATTGGACGAACCGGGGCATGGAGCAGATCTTCAACTTCTCGAAAATAGAGCCCTGAGGTGAGAGAAGAGAATTGTTGGGGGCTGGGACTTCAGTGGTAATCGCTTCCGTCTGAGACCATGTGTGTCCTCACAGAGGGGCCACGGGCAGGCCGAACACCCCGGGATCCCACCCCAC